TATGCTCACCACACCTTCTGACCTTCTTTATTCTCTCCCACTTCTGGAATGATCAAAATACATTGCTTCTTGAAGTTGGTGCCTCCTGACATAGGTCTATATCCTGTCAAAATGTATTTCTTTTGCAACTTTGGGCAAATATTTAAACCTCACTAGGACTCTGCTTTTCACCTGTCAAATGAATAATACCTTCCAGGATTGTTTGGAAATGAGATCCCCTATTAGAGAGCTAGGTAAACAATAAGTGCTAAATAAATGGTTACCGTCATCATTAGTATTTTGTCTGGGGACCAGTTTCTGGGCAAAGTAAGGAAGCTCTTTCAGTTCCTCATGGATCTTGTAAAGTGTACAAACACACACAGTTACCTACCTATAGCCTTTTACCTATTAAGGCTCTTTAAATGGGTATTTCATTCAGGAAGCAAGACTCTTTTATTTGCGTTAGGTGAAGTGGAAAATGAATACTTAAGACTTCTCTCTAGATTTGGTTAAGGTATTCTCAGAAAATCATTTAAACCTTAGTGTTCTCCTCTGTAAATTGGGGTCATTATATATAACATGCATAATTATTTGTTCCATCTCCTTTCCAGAGCTACTGACCCAATTGGGCTTTTTAAAAAATTTTTTAAAAAATATTTATTTATTTTTCTTTTTTTTTAATGTTTTTATTTATTTCTAGGAGAGAGAGAGAGAGAGAGACAGCATGAGCAGGGGAGTCACAGAGAGAGAGGGAGTCACAGACTGAAACAGGCTCCAGGCTCTGAGCTGGCAGTCAGCACAGAGCCCGACGCGGGGCCCGAACCCACGAACCGCGAGATCATGACCCAAGCGAAAGTCGGACGCTTAACCGACCAAGCCACCCAGGCGCCCCAATATTTATTTATTTTTGAGAGACAGAGGGAGACAGAGCATGAGCAGAGGAGGGATAGAGAGAGGGGGAAACATAGAATCGGAAGCAGGCTCCCGGCTCTGAGCTGTCAGCACAGAGCCTGACGTGGGGCTTGAACCCACAAACTGTGAGATCATGACCTGAGCTGAAGTCAGAAGCTTAACTGACTGAGCCACCCAGGCACGCCCCCCCCCCGCCCCCAACTGGGCTTTTGATCTTTGCCCATTCAACACTTCTTGCAGATCTCTCCACCCCTACTCTTAAGCCAGTCCTTATCTATCTCCATGCCAGTTTTTCTTCTGGCCCATTTTCCTGTCCTTCATTGGTGTTTCCATGAGTCCACCCTAAGACCACTTTTATCCATGCCACGTGCTCTGCAATTTTGTATGGTCCCTTGACCTCAACTAGCGTTTTCTATGCTGAAGAGGCTGGTGGTTGCTACAGGTCCCTTAGTTCTTGTCTCTCTCAGAGTCTAATTCCGTAGTTTCCTCCCCAGACACATCCACCCAGATAACCACAGGCAATTCCGCCTCAACATACACGAACACAATGGTTTCCTTTCTCAGTCGGCAAAATTTCTTAGTTACAAGGTCTCTGTCCCCTTCCTTTCCTCTTTGCTTCCTTCCCACAGGTCATCCATCACATCAACACTTATGCCAGCTCTTCAGTATCTCTCCGATCAGCCCCTCTTCTGCCTTCACACCACCGACTCTCAGCTCTCGTTGTCTCTCACTTGGACTGGTTCAGTAGCCTCGTCTGGTTTCCCTGCATCTCCTCTCTGAGCCCTCTTATCTCACTCTCCATTTGTCTTTCTAAAATGCAAATCTGGGCAAGTCGTGTTCATGAGTTGCAACTGCTGATGTCTCTCATCGACCGAAGAATGTAGCTCAGAGATCTCAGCTTTGGACTCGAGGCCTCCCCTCCTCTTCGTCACCAGCCTCCTCTTCTACCCCAGGCCGTCTACTGGCCGCTCCTGCACGCACGCGCAGCCACTCTGAACTTGATCATTCTTCCAATCTCAGTGGCCTTACGCTCACTATACCTTCTGTCTGACGTCCCCGTTCCTGTCTTCTCTGCTTACCCAAATTCTACTCTTCCTTCATGAAAAACGCCTTGGACTCTGAACTTTCTCAGCCCCTGCACACATGGCTGCTCCCCCTTGTGAATTTTCATCACACTTTGTTCTCACGGGCAGCCCTGCACCACACTGCCCTCCTGTATTGTAATGGTCCTTTTTGTCACACTCCCAGCAAAAGTGTCTGTATCTCAAAGCTGGAAAGACATTTTATTTACCTTTGTGTTCACCCGGGACTGGGGTGCCTGTGATTCTCCACTGGGTGATGGAATGGACGTCTCTGCCTTTATTTCTCAGAACTTTGTTATGAAAGTCAGAGAAGAGGGTATTTTTGAACGAACAATATAAAATAAACTACAAGTATAAGAACCCCTAAATCTCCCAGACCATCCCTCTATATTAAAATAACCCCCCTTCCAGGTGAGTGAAGATGTTTCATTTCTAGGAAATGAGACTTTTTTTTTAATGTTTATTTATTTTTGAGAGAAAGAGAGAGAGCGAGGGAAACAAAGAATCCGAAGCAGGCTCCAAGTTCCGAGCTGTCAGCACAGAGCCAGACACGGGGCTTAATCTCACCAACTCATGAGACCATGACCTGAGCCAAAGTCAGACGCTTAACCAACGGAGCCACCCTGGTGCCCCCAGACTTATTAATTAATCAATGCCATTTAAGACTTGGAGTAGAATCGCCCAAAGCAAAATTGTCTTTGGCAGCCTGTCTTTATGTGTACCTTTTATGCAAATAATGTTAACATGTACAGTCAAAAATAAATTCTAGTGGACTATCTCAGAAACATATACGTAAGGAACTTCGCTAACAGGAAAAGAAAACATAATAGGACTCCAAGAGATGTCAGAGTGTTTTTAGACAAGGGGGGAACCTGTATGGAGGGTTATACTGGTGGGCGGGAGGCGAGGCTAAGTGAGCCAGGGTCCTACAGTGAACCCAGGACTGCTTTGGAGCCTGAACTGCCAGAGGGCTGTGTAGACAGCTAGACTCATCTTCCTGGATGGTCTCTGAACTGTGACGCTCTCACGGACACAGATGTCCTTAGCAAAGCGCTCCAGCCAGGGTTGCCAGATTTGGCAAAAATAAAAATACCAACCACCCAAATAGAGCAGGAAGCACACTTTAACAAATCATTTGTTTATTTGCAATTCAAATTTAACTGGGCATCTTATATTTTATCTGGCAAACCCCGCCGCAACCCAAGTGACTTTAGTATCTTTGAACCTGGTATTCATGGCTCTAGGGTGTTTTGGAGAAAGAATTAGCCTGGGCTTTCTCTTAGACAACCAGAAGGGTTTCAGGCCGTAATGTAACTGGGGGGTCGATTGCCATCTAGTGGAAGATTTGTGACAGTGCAGGCTTAAATTGGAGGGATAGGGTTTTTTCCAGAGTCTTCAGGGAAGGATTCACCAGGAAGGATTCTGGGCAGGCCCACTGCAAAGCCCTGAGGTCCTCGTGCTGAGAGGGTGATGGCCAGAAGAAGACGAGGGTGCGGTGGGGGGAGGGGACGTGGGAGGTTTGCCTTGCAATCTGAGGAGAGGAGTGGCCTGACCGTGGCTCGCCAGCATGTGGATTTTCCTCCTGCAATCAGCCTGAACCAAAACCAAAAGCTAGAACTAATTGTAAGAAGCACAGCATCATTCCAAATGAGGATGGCTCAGACATTAGTGGAACTACCAAAAATAAATGTACACAGGGCACCTAGGTGGCCGAGTCAGTTATGTGTCTGACTTCGGCTTCGAGCCCCGTGTCTGGCTCTGGGCCGAGAGCTCAGGGCCCACTTCAGATCCTCCGTCGCCCTCTCTCTCATCCCCCTCTCTCTGCCCCTCCTCTGCTGGCTTTCTCTCAAAAATAAAAACACTTCTTTTAATTTTATTAAAAAAAAAAATTCAAGACCCAGATAGGTATCGTAACACAAGTCCTTTCATATCTCTGCACATTCTAAACTCTAAATTCGGGCTGTTGAGTGGCCAGAAGAGCAGAGCTAGGAAACCCTACAGAGATGTGTGCGCATGTGTCTTTGTGTGACCAAGAAATTTCTTTTCCAAATATTGACTTTTTAGTTCTTAGGACTCTAGAACTATTACGACAAATATAAGTTTTTGAAAAAAAAAAGTTATTTTCCAATAATCATAGCATTTGGAGGTCCAAAATAGCCCCCCCCAACGCACTCCCCACCTGCACTGATGTAGTTAGAATCAAAGGCCCTCCAGTCCTACCTACTTGGTCACTGTAGGGCCATCAGATGTGAGGTGCTAAGTATACACACACACATATGAACATTCTCTTCTTGGTGCTCCCACCTCATTCCTAACCCCTCTCCCCCCAAAAGAAGTACTTTGGAAAAATAAGTTAGGGTTCACAACGCTGGAGACTTGACCCAAAAGATCTAGGAGGTCTCTTGCAATCCTATCCCTAACAGCCCCAAATTCCAGAGAGAGCCTCGGGCTCAGCTCTGCTCAGGTTCTGTCCGGAGTTTGGAAATAGAATAGGATCGAATGCCAGGAGTGAAGACCAGGCCCAAGACGCCCGATTTTGCCTCCGGCAGGAGGGATGGGCCCAGGGACCATGCCAGGCTCCTCGGGGGCCGTGCCCAACGGGGGCCTCACTCGGGGCACCTAGGGCTGCATCCCACGCCCGGCCGGCGAGCGGATGGCGGTGAAGGAAACGCAGCTCCCCGTCAGTGGGGAGACGCGCAACTGCAGAGGGAGGTCTAAGGACGCATGAGCCTGCCGCGTACAACAGACACGGGCTCAGTTGCCTGGCAAGGAAAGGAAACAAGCGTACACGGCCTGCAGAAGTCACAGGACCGTTCCGTCCTCAGGGGGGCACACAGAGGCGTGGGCAGGAGGGCTGGCCAGCCCTCCTCCTCCTCACATCGGGTCCATCAAGGTGAGCCCACAGAGGGGGACACATCCAGCTTCCACCCGGGTCAGGGGACTCCGGTCTTTCCAGCCCTGCTGCCTCCGGGGGGGGGGGGTGTCACCCAACCCCCTCCCTCTCCTGCACACTGCTTGGCCCCACAACTAGGGGCCACGGCCGTTCTTCTCTTCGGCTCGGAGCTCGTCGGCTGCAGAGGGCCCCTCCCCACAGGGAGCAGGCTGTTCCTCTTGGGCCTTGCCCAGGAAGGGCCCCGAGTTGGGTCTGGCCCCTTCGGGGATCAGCGGGGCGACGCCTGGAGAAGACTGCCTGCTCAGGGTCGGGGCGTAGGGTGCTGGAAGCAGATCGGGGAAGTAGCCATCGCCTGCGGGGGGCTGCCCCAGGGCCTGCGGGCAGAAGGGGCCGGGGAAAGGCAGTTCTGGCAAGCAAGGGTCATTCCAGGGGACCGTACCTGTGGGGTCAGAGTGCAGGAGAGAGGAGACAGGACTCAGGGTCTCCACCACAGCCGGCGAGGTTCTGGGAGACTCCCCTCCCCTCCCTCCCACAGGAACCCAGCCGTGGTGTGGGCGAGGTCCTAGCACCAGGAGTCGCTGCCCTCGGGCTGGCCACGCTCCTGCCTCCAAGCCCTGTGCTCTGGGGACATCGACACAGAGCGGGGTGTGGGCCAGGCCGTGCGCCCCCTCCCGCAGGTGGTGGGGAGACTGGGAACAGACTGCACCCGTCTTTCTCCCCTTTCTACTGGGATTTAGTCTTAAGACGATGGTTGCGCCCAGATCTCAGAGGTCCGAGTGGCTCAGGCCAGCTGCCAAGTGTCTCCCTCGTGTGGTTTCTAACCCTCCGCAAATCCCTCCCTGGTGTGGGGAGAGTACCCCCAGTTGAGAGTCAGGCAAACTGAGGCTCTGCAGAGCTGGGAACGGCTGGGCCTGACTTCAGAATCCCGACTCCGAGGCTCGCGCCCCGCTCTGCAGCCCCTCAGGGAACCAGACGAGCACTTCGTAGAGACCACCAGGGCCGAATAAAAGGGATCCGCTCGCTGCCCCGGCTGCCTGCCCCTCCCCACCTCCGCGGTCACCACTCACCCCACTCACCGGTGTTCCCAGCAGGCGGCTGCAGCACCATCTGCCCCGACGGCAGCCCCGGGAAGTAGCCCTGTGACGTCCCCGCGCAGGGGCCGTAGGGCGATGGGAAGAGGGGGTCATCTGGCAGCAAAGGCTGCAGGGGGTGCGGCAGGGGGAAGGGGAAGGGGTGCAGGTAGGAGAACTGGGGCGGAGGCTGTTGGTAGAGCTGGCTCTGCGGAGCCTGGGAGAATGGGAACGGCCCGGGCTGGGCGCTCTGTGGGTAGTCCGGGGGCTCCAGGTCTTCCAAGTATGAGCAGGCGGATGGTGGGGTGACGCTGTGGGGGACAAAGGAGTGGCTGGCAAGGCCCAGGGGGAGCCCCTTCGTTGTGACCACCCGGTAGGTGAGTCCCTTCCTGTCTCCAGGACCCCAGACGTGCCTGCTTCCTGCTCCTGGCTTCTCTCCTCCCCCCTACTCTGTTGCTGTGACATTCTAGATCTTTCCCACTCTAAATCCACTTTCCTTTTAATCCTCATCACAAGCATGACTCTCTCTGTTCACCCTTCCCAACCAAGCTCCATCTGTCTTTCCTCCTTCTATGCCCCTCCCCCACCAAGAGAATTCAGGTGACCCTCCTCCCCAGTAGGCTCCGTACCTTGTCCCCCAGGAGCCATCTTTGTGGCTGCCGTCACTGCCGGGAGTATCCAGCAGCAGGGGCAGCAGTTGGGGGCTGGGGACAGGGCCAAGGGGAAAGGGAAGGCTGACTCTTCGAACTGGTGGAGGGCTGAAGAGGGGAGGGGTCTCTGCCACGCTTTGAGTACTCTCGCTCTGTTGGGTTGGGGCCAGTGTCGGCTCAGAGGTCAGCAGCATGGGAGGCTCTAGGAACCAGAGTCAAGGAGGGGTACAAGGGAAAGAATGGGGAGGCCGACTTGGGATGTGCCATGCCCAGGTGCGCTTGGATAGGCCCCACTGGACTGAAACCCTGGACAGCTTTGGCCCATTCCCACATCTGCCCACAAAGGACTTGGTCTTGGCCATCTTTCCAGCTGCCATGTCCCTCACGTGACCCTCAGGAGGTGTCCAGCTTACCCGCAAGAGAATCCAGAGGGGGCTCCTGAGGGAAGGAGCCAGGCTCTGGGTCCAGGGGCACGGCGGCCGGCCGCTCAGCCGCAGAGCTGCAGGCAGACAGAACGAAGACTGTAGCTCTAGCGTCCCTGGATTTGGACCAGGGCTCCGCACAGGGGACAGGGCCCCGGATTCCCAAACACTGCCTTCGTACAAGACCCGGGCGACTTCCCGACCCCCCTCCATCCAACGTCTCTCTAAATATCGGCCAACAGCTCCCGGCCTCATGGCCAGCTTTCCAACTTCTCCTCCTAGACCCCAGGCACCCAGTGTCTAGCCCACCCCCACCCCTTCCTACCTATGGGGTGATCCGGGAAGAGGGGAGAGCAGTACCTGCACTGACCGCTGGCCACGGCAGGGGCGGGGCCTGCGGGACCTTCCTTGTCCTCCTTCCCATTCAGCTTCTCCACTTTCCGCCACTTCGCCCGGCGATTCTGGAACCACACCTGTAGGGAGACAGCCTGCGAGTGTTCAGGGAGCACAGCGGACTCAGACTCGGGTTCTGACTGTCACACGAGGAGCTACAGGGCTTGAGGAGGTCGCTGTACCACTCTGCCTCAGAGGCCTTTCTCTGCAAGATCGGTTGAAAAGATTCATCTAGAGAGCGGAGGTATTTTCCTCTTCTCATCTGCGGCTGTGGCACCGTGGAAACGGGCCCAGAACACAGCCAGATCTGAGACCCAACCGTGGCCCCTGTAGGGTGCTGCTGAGCACTTGCTCTGCTCCTTCGAGGGCACCAGGTGCCACCCTGACGCCAGCTGGCCAGCCCCCTTTACCATGATGCGTTGGGGGGTGACCCCCACGGTCTGGGCAATCTCCCGGCGCTTATCACTGTCTGGGTAGTGGTCTTCTTGGAAGATCCTTTCTAGCTCCTCCAGCTGGTCTGGAAGAGAAGAAACTTGCAGGAGGACAGTGATGTGGCAGCAGAGGAGAAAGGCAGATGCCTGACAGATGGGACCACTGTCCCCAACCCAAGGGTCTTCCCAGAGCTTTGCACCGGAGTTCCCCGTTGGGCTGGGGCTTTCTGGGTCTCCTGGGATTTGTGGAAGGGAACTGTGTGGTATTTACTTTCCTACTTCTAACCTGTTCCCAATTTCATTTTTTTTTTTTTTTTTTTTTTGAGAAAGAGAAAGGGCCCCGAGTCATTGAGGGGCACAGAGAGAGGGAGAGAGAAGTGGATCTCACCCAGGGCTCGTGTTTTACCTGAAGCAGGGCTCAAGCTCACGAATTGTGAGATCATGACCTGAGCCGAAGTCAGATGCTTAATGATGGAGACACCCAGGCGCCCCCCAATTTCACTTTCTGATGAGGCAACCCAGTGTTCCCTTGGAGGGTCAGAGGTCGTGGCCCTGCCACAGGTCGAGAGAGGGCTCGGGACGAGGGGGTGTACGGACTGGCCACACTGCAATCTCCTGGAGCTACGAGGTCCTCCGTTGAGCCCTCCTTTCCCAGAGAGGATGCCAGCCCCCTTAGACTTCCTCTCACCTCCAGGGACTTACCTGAGCGGTATAGGGTCCGGGTCTTTTTCCGAACTTGGCAGGTCACTTCCAGGGACCTCTTCTGATCTGTGCTTTGGCTGCTCTGAGCCAATGTGCTGAGGAGGTTGGCCAGATGGCAGGGCCCCCGGCCTGACCCGCAAGGCACTGGGTTGTGGGCGGCTCGGGCTGACTGGGTGCCGCCGGGAGATGGCGTGGAGGCCAGACACCCCGCACTGGGCGTTTTCTTACTGGACACTGGAGAGTAGGACCTCTTCCCTGACTTTGCCTCTTTCCCTGGGAAGGAACAGCCTTCCCCAGGAGGCTGGGGTCCAGGTGGGGCCAGAGGGGCGTCTCTGTGGAGCGTCCCCGAGCTGGACGGCTGGCCCGCTCCCCTGGTATCTGTCGCAGCTGGTTCTCCAGGGGCATCTGATGGTGGCTTCTCCCCAGGGATGGTACAGGAGCGGGGCAGTTCCTCACTTGGGGCATCCCGAGCGCAAGGGGCTGAACTCTGCTGTAGTTCCTTTTCTGGCCCGGCAGCCGAGGGCTTGTCTCCACCTTCGTGGCCTGTGGGGATCAGCACCCACTGACCTTAGCACCCGGAGAAGGAAAAGCCTGGACTAAGGATGTGCTGCTTCCTGCTCTGCGGCCTGGGTCCCGTTTGGGTTCAAGCTTTCATTTGTGCACTTGTCACAGAGGGTAAGAATTCTAGGCTCGCTGTTTGAACTTGGCTGTCGTGAAGACCAAGCTAGACAGCCCACTGCTTGGCAGAATGTGAGCAAACGGATGCACCTTGGAGGGGGCCTGAGCTCACACACAGATGGTAGGAAGGCTACGCTGATCTGGGGGGCACGCACTTTCTAGGAGTTGCCCGTTTGTTTGTTTTTTTCCCCAGACACCTGGAATGGAGGTGAGGGACAGGCACTTTCTAAGGGACAAATGTTGAAGTTGGGGGTGGAATTGGAGGAGGGAGAGACTGTCCCTAAGGTGCCATCTGGATCACGGGGACAAGCCTCCTCTCCTTCCAATTCTCTCCAAGCCCGTGGGCACCCCCCCTGCCCGTCCCTGCAAAGCAGGACGTCACACTGGCCTTGGGCACAGGCCAGCCCTCCCTTCACAGGTAAGGAAGTGGGATCCAGCCGGCACCTGACCCCCCCCGCCCCGCCCCCCCCCCCCCCCCCCCCCCCCCCCCCCCCCCCCGTCATCCAAGCTTGTCGGCTTGAGGCTGGGCCTGACTCACCAGGCACTTACCCCGTCCCAGGCTCTGTGCTAAGCACCTTTCAAAGATTAGCAAGTGTGCACTTAATCCCTGTGAGGAAGGCACGATTGTAGCTCATTCGAACACATGAGGAAATACCGGTTACCAAGTTGAGTGGTTTGCCCAAGATCACCCAGCACAGTGCTCTTAATCCTCATGCAGAGTCCTTCCTGGGGTCCCCAGAACCTCCCCAGCTCACCACCCTTACAATCCCCAGACGCTTTGGCATTCCCACTTAACTGGAAGATTTTTAAGTGGATGCTAGCTAGTGACTAAGAACTGCTGCTATTTGAATGAAAATTACATAAAATAGAGCATCGAAAGGAATGACTTTCTCATGAGGTGTAAGGAAAGACGGACCGCCAGGGGCTAAGGTGATTTGTCAAGTGGTTTTCTAGGGTAGTCAGACCTGGCTGGCAGGAGAGGGCCCGGGCTGCTGAGGAGGGTGCCCACGCCTGGGTTGTGGGGAAGGGACAGGTGGATGGTGGCCTGGGGAAGGAGGGACACGTTGGGTTGGACTTCTGGCATGTTAGGTGAGCTTGTAGCCTAGCACACCTGGTACGCAGTAGGTGCTCAATAAACGACATCAGCGTGATATGCCCTGGTGCAAAGGGGACGGGCGTCGGAAGCCGTAGAAGAAGGGCCCCGGGGGGGGGGGGGGGGGGGGGGGGGGGGGGGGGGGGGGGGGGGGGGGGGGGGGGAGACACGGGAACCCACAGGAGGGAGGGCGCGCAGGGTGGGCCTCCCTCACACCCCCAGCCCCGCGGCCCCCCAGGCGCGCCCCTCGCTCACCCCGAGGCTCCGGGCAGGGCTCCCGCGCCGGCTCCATGGCCCAGACTCGCCCGCCGCGCTGCCCCCGCGCCGCCTAATGAAGCCTCGCGGGCGGGCAGGTGCGCGGGGTCCGCACGCGCCCCGGGGAGCCCGCGCCCGCGCCCCTCACCCCGCCGCCAGGGCGCGTGGGGCAGCTGCGGGGCCGCGCCCGCCCCCGCCGGCCCGAGGGCGGCCCAGGTGTGCGGCCCGCCGCCCCTCCCCTCCCCTCGGCCCACAGCTCACGCGGCCCGGCTCCTCAGGCACCCCGAAGGCTGGCGACAGTCCTGCCCCCCCGCCCCCGGTACCCGGGGGCGGGGGGCTCGGTGGGGGCTCGGAACGGGCTCCGCGGTGCAAACTGGGGACGGCCACCCTGGAGCACCCTTCCGGGGAGCCCCCCACGCCGGGCCCGAGCTGAGCGAGCTCCCCCAGACCCCGCCCGGAGCACAGAGCTGGCCTCTGGTGACCACGTGCGAGGAGCCCGTGCTGCCAGGTAAGCCGCACCACACCGGACCGCGTGGACGGGGCCCCGCGGCACAGGCGCCGGGGGCCTTGGGGGGCGGCGGGGAGGCCCAGCTGGCCCAGGTTTTGCGGTCGCTCACCAACCCCCCCCCCCCAACTTGAGATACTAGTGCGAGTTCTGGGAATGACGGGGAGCCTCCTGAGGGAGCTCTGTCACGCGTCATGTTTGTGATTCCTGGTTCAGAGTACGTTTCATGCCTAAAATTCAGAATTTAAAATTCTCATTGCCGCCGCCTTAGGTCTGCGTCTGCCTTTCCCCCGCCATGGGAAACGTGGGACAGATTGAAACAGGTGCTTGGAGCTGGGCTTAGGCTGGGGAGGGGTGTCGGGGGGAGGGCCCTGACCGCACTCCAGGTGTTCTGCATTAAGGATTTAGAAGCCTCTGGACACCACGTGCTTTTCTGCTACAATCACCTATCGGTTCGTTTCCCTGTGCTTCCATTCCGTTGAGGGGCTTGGCTTGCACACTTCGCCCTGGGAGAGGGGCCAGAGCTTTAACTATTTTTGCAACATGAACATACAAACGGGTTAACCTCCTGACAGTGTGATGAAAACTTCAGGAATCTGATGTTTCAGTCTGACTCCTGTAAGATTAACATCCTCGGATAAATAAGAGGTTTAGACCTAGGGCCCAGTTTCTCAGCTGGGAACGGAGCATTGGAGGCCTCGTGACCGAGGCATGGGGGGCAGTGAGGTTACTCTACAGGAAACATCAGAACGGTGGTATGGTTGTAAAGGGAGCACAATAGTCTGCTTGATTACACATTTATGGGATACCTACTGTATGTCAGGCACTGCACAAGTCAGTGCCTTGCTCGTAGAAGCTTCCTGATGGAGAGGGGGCTTGAACAATACTACAGGTAAATGGACTATGTCAATACAGTGTGGTCAGTGGTGAGTTAGGAGTATGCACGGGCGCTTCGCAGCACAGAGGAGCAGAAGCCTGGCCTGGGATGGGGAGCGGGGAAGGTGGGGGTGACCCAGGAGCCGTGAGCTGAAGGTTAAAAGGAGGGTTCCATGCAAACCTTATGTTGTCCCAGCCCTGCTTACAACCCTGAGGTTGGCCCCTGCCTGCCCAGGAGGTCAAGACCAGTCTCCCAACTGGGACAGGACCTTCCAAATCCTGGCCCTTTTCTTTCATCCCCAACTCACCTGCCTTCCTGTGCCAAAGTCCTCCGGTTTTATTCTCTTTTGACCCACTGTTTCTGACTGTTCCTAACCTTTCCCTAGATCAGAATTTCTTTCTTTGTTTTCTTTCTTCAGAGAGAGACAGAGCATGCGCTGGGGAGGGGCAGAGAGAGAGGGAGACACAGACTCTGAAGCAGGCTCCAGGCTCTGAGCTGTTAGCACAGAGCCCGACGCGGGGCTCGAACCCACGGACTGTGAGATCATGACCTGAGCCTATGTTGGCCCTTAACCGACTGAGCCACCCAGGCGCCCCTAGATCAGAATTTCTTAGGGAAGTTGTTTAAAATGTGACTCCCACATTCCCAGAAATTTAAATTGGTGGGTGTAGAGAGGGACCCAGAAATAGCCCTTGTAACAAGCCTCTCAGGTGGTTTTTATTCACCTTAGAGTCTGAGATGCTCCTAGACCTTTCAGAAACAAAGTCAATTAAAAGTGTCCTGGGGGTGAGAGTGAGGGAAGCAGGTGGGGGGGGGGTGCTTGTATGGGGGAAGATGACCTCTTCACCTTCTCTGAGGCGTCTGTGGCAGTGAGAAGCCAGGAACATTTCATTTGGTCGTAGGTTATCCTACGTTAAACTAAAAATAAATCATTCTCTACCAAGTCCATTGTGTTTTGTCTCACTGCGTGCTCGCCCTCCGCCTGGGGGAAGGGCGGGAGGGTAAAGACTCCAGTCACCCGAGGATTGAACCCCGCCCTTAAGATTCAGGGGCTTATTGTAGAAAAGTGTGTTTAAGGGAATTGAAGATGTTGGCATTTTTCTAAACACGTAAATCGCTGCATATGTTAGGCTTGGACTATCACATTAGAAAAATTGAAGTTTTCTTTCCTTGCTGATACTCTTGGCTTGCTGTTGTGTGGCTGGATTTTTATTTTATGGCAAATATTGTCGTGTTTGTTTATTTACATGAACATTTGCTTTAATGGCTATGAGTGAATTTGGCTTCTTAAGACATAGAAGACAGTCTTTTTCGTGGGTTTGCTGGGGAAGGGGTAGCATTGCTGACACGTGCTGTTAATAGTTCTCTCTGACAGGTCAGCGTCCAGGGCAGGAAGACCACTCTTTATGGGGGGGGGGGGGCAGAATGTGTTTCCGGAGGCTTGGGAATATTTATCTCTAAGTCTTGTTTGGTTAGATTTCATCTTTGTGATCGTCACACAAGTTCATCTGCTCAACTTGCTTAGTGGGCAGGGTTTTTTTTTTTTTCGGGGGGGGTGGTTCTTAGTTTTTGGAGTCAAATTCCAAAGCACCACTGTCACCCTCTCACCAAGGGCCCTCGATTCTAGCATCTTTTCTTCCTTGGAGGAGAGTCACAGACAGAAACGCGTCTGGTGCTGCTCCGCAGACGGCAGACCTTTCCTCCTTGTGTGTAGAGCCGGCCGCACCATGAGGACAGGCAAGGGGAGTCCGCATCCTTTGTCGCCCTCCTCCTCCCGCAGTGAGAAAAATAACCAGAAGGTGGCAGATTGAGAAGAATGGCAAAGTGGGCACAGGGTCATTTGCTCTTGTTTTCCCTGCCACGCCCAGGTGGCCGCAGGTCATGGGAACAGGCCTGGGACCAGAGAGGCGAGAGTAACGTTGTGAAAGACAGAAATCTGAACAGGCCCCGGGCAGTGAGAGAGCAGAGCCCCAGCACACGGGGCGGTGAGGGCCCGGAGACCACCAGGAGGCAGAGGGCAGCTAGGGCCAGTCACAGGTTCAAGGACCAAGGCACCCTGAGCCCGAGGAGGGCAAAGGGCCAGATGCTCAGATGAACACCGTGGGCCCATGACACCACCGTGAGCTGGTGCCCAGTGGCCTCCTTTGGAAATCCCAGCACGGGATGGTTTGAGTTGGCCGGTGAAGAGCATTGAGAACACCTGGCTGGAGAAACCCCGTTCTGGCGTGAGTTGGCCTCATAACCTCCAATCCCAGGGCCCCACTCACTCAAGATTTTATGCTTCTACCAAGGGCAGGGACCGTGTTTGAGACACGGGGTTGCTACAGTTAGACAAAAACAGAGAGGGAGGCAAACCATAAGAGACTCAAATACAGAGAACAAAGCGAGGGTTGACGGAGGGGTGTTGGGTGGGGGGCGGGCACAAGGAGGGCATTTGGCATGAGCCCTAGGTGCTGTATGTAAGTGATGAGTCACTAAATTCAACTCCTGAAATCATTATTCCACTGTGTGTAAATAGTTTGGCTTTAAATGAGCTTAGAAAAGAAACCCATAAAGAAGAGAAAATAAAGAGATGGGCTTGCTGCTGCTATTGTCTGCACTCAGCCTGCAGTAATAATAAGCCACATTGCTGTGTTTGGGGATGGCCAGTACCCTCCCATCTACTCTGATCCTCTCCTCCCAGAACGCTAGAGCTCTGGAGAAACTTCTGCGCGGTGCTAGTGTACTCCGGGATCCGGACGCTCTTGCGGTAATTATTGCATGGCCTTCGAGATGCCTCGGAACCTGGCCCCAGCCTTCCCCTGCCCCCCCAGTCTCCTCATCTCTCCTGTTCTAACGTTGTCCTTTCTCGGGATGGCTCTTGCCATCTCATGCCTCAGGGCTGCCGATCATGTGGTTTTATAGGCCTGAAACGCCATCCCTTCCCTTTTATTTCTGTCAGAGTCTTCCTCATACTCCAAAACCCAACCCGATATTCTCTTTTCTGTGAAGCCTCTCTCGGCTTTCCGCAGCCCCAGTGAGCGGCTCCCTCCCGGGCCCTCCCGCTGTGCTGGGCGAGCCTTGACCTTACCGCACTCAACACAGGCTGACCTGAGAGTCACGTGTGTTCTCTGCCGGAATGTGAGTTCCTGAGTGACAACATGCATCTATTCATGCCGGACACTTTCTTCTTGCTCCACAAATAACCAGCTCATTGAATCCTCATAATAACCCCAAGGAGGAACTATTATTAGCCGCATTTTATTGAAGAAACTGTGGCACAGAGCTTGAATACTTTGTCAAGGTCACACGGCTGGGAAGTGGCACACCCAGGATTTGAACCCAGTCAGTCTAGTTCCCACCCATCCTCCTAACTACTAGGCTATATTACTTATGTATACTTCTGTCACTTCAGTGCTTGGCACAGTGATTTACACGTTGCGGGGGGGTCAGTAAGTGTTCATTGACCAAAAGTTACTCACCACTGTCTGGAGTCCGGGAGCAGGGGAGGGAGGGCGAGAGGCGGCCGTGGCTGTTCGGGGGAGCCACAGTGATGGGAATGTTCTGAAGCTCGGCCGGTGACCGTCACTGGAGTCTACACATGAGATAAAATTGTAGAACTAGATGGACACGCGCGCGCGCGCGCACACACACACACGAGTGTATATAAAACTGG